TCAGTGAGGGGGGTGTTAAAGTCCCCCACTATTATTGTATTGTTGCCAATGTGTTTCTTTGCTTTTGTTATTAATTGGCTTATGTAATTGGCTGCATACAGACTGACCTTCCCCACTTCACATGTCTGCCTCTCTCCCTGCACTGGTGCTCCTTAGCAGAGGGACCATTGGGTACCTAGCCTCAGGCATGCCTGGAGTAGACATTCAGTAAACACTGATGAATGAAGATCCGTTAAATTTATGTTCATTTTATTTTGATTATAGAAATAAAGTATGTCTACTTTGTAAAATATTTAAAAATGGAAATCAAAACATCTATACATATACATATACATTTACATTTACATACTGTGTGGTATTCATAATACCTGGCTGCTGAGGACTAACAGCTGATAATGGTTTGGATGTATCAATATAATAGTCTGTTCATTTTAGAAATGCTTATTTAGTAAATGTGTAATCAATTGAAAAACAGCTAGGAGATTGTTTTCTTTCTATAAAAACTTTGCCTTATGCCCTTAAAAGATTATATAAAGCAATGATTCTCAACAGGGGGCAGCTTTACCCCCAGGCAACATTTGCCAATGTCTGGAGACATTTTCAGGCTCATGAGTTGGCGGGGAGGGATGCTATTGACCTCTGGTAGGCAGAGACCAGGGATGCTGCTAACCATCCTACAAAGCTCAGGACAGTCCTGCTCTCCACCAGAAAATAAGTATTCAGTCCAAAATGTCTATAGTGTTAAGGTGGGAAACCATGATAGGGAGGATGCATATTAAGCAGATGTCACATTCAGCTATCCCCTCCTACTTTCTTGATAGGGTAAGGAAATATTGGATTGTATGTGTCCATTTTGGTTATTTTCATCGTTTTGATAAGAACAGATCAATGGCAATGCTTTGCTTTTGCTGGGTATATTCATTTTCTGTTGCTGCCGTAACAAACTACCAGAAACTTAGTGACTTAAAACAGCACACATTTATTATCTCGAAAGCCCCAGCACAACAGGCTCCGCTGGTCCTCTGCTTAGAGTCACACAGGGATGAAAGCAAGGTGTTGGCAAAGCTGCATTTCTTTCAAGAGGTTCTGGAAATGAATCCATTTTCAAGTTCATCCAGGTGTTGGCAGAATTCGGTCCAGTGCTTCCATAGGACTAAGGTCCCTGTTCCTTTGCTGCCTGTCCGACAGGGATCAATCTCAGCTTCTAGAGGCCACCCACATCCCTTGCCTTGTGGCCCCCTCCTCCATCCTCAAAGCTGGCCACTGCAGGTCAAGTCCTTTCCCCCTTCAGACCTTGCCGGCCCCCTTCTGCCTCCCTGTCATCACATTTCTCCCACCAGCCCACTATTCTGCCCTCTTCTGCTGCTAAGGGCTCATGGGAGTACATTAGATCCACCAGGTCATCCAAGACAATCTCTCTATTTTAAAGTCTGCTGATCTGTACCTTAATTTCTTCTGCAGGTTCTTTCAAGCAGCACCTAGATTAGTGTCTGATGGGAACATCAGGGATGAGGTTCTTGGGGGACGCTTTGGAATACTGCCTGCCATTTAGTATCACTCCGGGTCCATATCCTACCTAATCCACGTCCTCACCTTCCAAGGGGAGCTTCTGTGGGTGGCATGGCTCCCATGTACTTCCCAAGGCCAGCCTGGTGGTTCCAGCCCTAACTGGGCTGGGCTGAGGGCAACACCTGGAATTTACAGCCAAGAGCTAGTCTTAGCCCTAGTATATGCAGCAGGTAGATGACCTTGGTAACTGTCCTGGTCTCTGAGAGTTTTATTTTTGCTGGTTGTCCTACTCAGTGGCATCTCCCTCAGGGTCGTGTTGGAGGTGGTGGGGGGCAAGAGCCTGAAGCCCACAGGTGACTGACTTTGCCAGCCCCCAAGAGGCAGGACAGGACCAAGAAGAGACTGTTCTCCCATCCTTCCCTGTCTTGTACTTAAACTTCAGTCTTTCTTGGTCTCCATGTCACACAGCAGGAAGCTGTCAGAAGCACCACACGTGGCTTGTTGTGGTAGCAGGGATCTCTAGGCTGTGCAGACAGGAGCATGCCAAACCCAGCAGGGGCTGAGAGCGAGAGTAGTCCTGTTTCCACTTAGCACTTGGTATATCCCCTTGCTTGCCTGGAGGGGACAGCCTGGGGGTAGGGGCCCAAATGAGTGTCAGCTCCCTGGAACCAGAGACTGAGCAGTTGTAAGGTCAAGGTGATTCCTTGCCATTATCTGGACATTTGTTCTTTGCACAGGTTGTTTTGATTCACTTCATTGGGTTGTTCTTGTTGCCTCTGGTTTCATGGTAAATTACGGGAGAGGTTATTTCCCAATTCAGCCTGAGTTTCTCCAGGATCAGTAGAACCAAACCACTGGATGCACTTGCTCCCTGGAGAAGGAGGTGTGGGAGGAGAGCAGCCAGGGCCGCATAAGGGTAGGCTCCTGATGGTGGGGGTCGGTGGGGGGTGGGGCAGTCTGGCCCCAGCCGGGCCTGACTCCTG